AAACAAAAACAAGATCTAGCAACAGCAACACCACCTCGCCCTGAGGTGAAACCAGGCCCCTCAAGCATTTCTCACAACACAGTTGAGGAATTTGAAGTGGACACCTCCAGTGATGACGACGACCCAGATTCTCCTCTACCGAACAGTGATGATGAGGGGCAAGTGGGGCCCCAGTAGCCTCCCTACCAATCCCCACCACTATGTTCACTACTGCATCAGCCATCAAGTAAATATTATCTTATTTGTATTTATTAATCTTATTTGGATGTGTAGTATACACATTTATTAATATTTAGAATATAGAAGTATTGTTTTTGCTCTTTATTCATAAACTGTGTTTGAAAATTTTGACCAGAAAAGTACCCAAGGAACATAGCCCCTATTTATATCATTGTCTCTTTGGTAAAATCGGTTTCACTAAAAGTCGTAGTTTTCAGGAACCTAAACAGGACGCTAATTGGGGAATTGGTGTATTTACCCCAGACCGGGCCCAGATAGACAGCCAGTCTTCACACTACACAGAGAGAGAGAGTTGTATAAAGTAACAGACTTTGTTACTGAAGTAAAAGTATTGTTACACTGGCAAAATGTCACTCAAGCAGAAGTAAAAGAATGATCTTATTCATAAAGTACTCAAGTACTGAAAGTAAAAAGTAACAAAAAAATTATTGTCTCAAATATTAAAATAAATCCAGTTACTTATAAAAAATAATTAACTAAAGATAAAAATAAGACAGCATTACACATGTATATTTTCAAATCTTTCTATAGAGATTAATTAATACAGTACTGTACTGGATTCTCAAAATTATGGCTTTCAATCAGGATCTTTTAAGTCTAAATATAAGCCCAGCATGACCTACTGAAAGAGAATAATGTACGTTCAACAGGGATAGTGAACGGGCCGAGAGTATATCCATCCAACACTATGATCACTTTCTTCCTTACCCACACAAATATCGTCAACGTGGACTTATGGTCCGCAGACATAATGTTGTCTCTGCTCGCATTAGGTTAGGATACAGACCTATCTGGTATGATCCGAGGTGGGGGCTGACCCGCACTTTTCTTCATGTAAACTCTGTAACTGTCTCAACACTAATGCCTTTCAACACTACTGTATTGCCTTGACTGTTCCACTGTCAGGGACCTCCTACCACAGGGAGTGTCACTCACCACTATATGTCACCACCTACTTACTCGTAATCATTTAGATATAATTCTTGTATGCTACCCATAATTTGGTGGGTGCAAACTCCCATGGTCCTTAAATCATATCAATATTGTCTCCCTGCAAGACACAAGTACAAATGTACAGTACACCCCCGGTGAGTGTTGGTTGTAAAGCTTCTTTTTCGAGAGAAGGCAACTTGCTTGACTGCCACTCAAAATAGAACACTAAAAGACATAATAAAAGAGTACAAAACTGTACTGTACTGCTTTTTTCTCTTAATGGAGAATATAAAACATAGTACTGTACTGTATTTTATTTTCTATCATTTTTTATGCTTTAACTGTTCCTTCAGTTCTTGTAAAGACAATATTATTTCTTGTCACTGAACTGATTTCACTTGTTTTAGGAATACATTGGGGATTTTCTTGAAGTTAGGTACTAAACTACAATAGTTAAGTACTAATTTACAGTAGTTGCTAACTGCACACCTTATCTCCATGGGTAACAAGAAATAAAATAAATCTAAATGGATGTTACTTAGAATATTTCTGGTACATTTCAAGGCAATCAAAGGACAGTAAATATCATGAGCAGGAGTATACAATAAATGAACAGTATCACAGTACATATGAAATTATTCCACAAAATAGACTGAATAATAATCTAATTGTCTTTACAAGAACTGAAGGAACAGTTATAGCATAAAAATTTGTAGAAAATAAAATACAGTACAGTACTATGATTATATATTCTACATTTCAGTACCTCTTACTCCACCCCATCAGAAGTTGGAGTGAAGTAAATAGAAAGACAGATATCCACAGCCAACAATGGAATTGCTGATCCTCCTGGCCTAGGAAAAAATTTATGTTGTTCAACTGTGTATAAAGAACTTAAATATGGTTTGTTGCAATGCACCCAAAAGAACTTAAGCAGGATGTTCTTTTGACAGGACAGACTACCAGCAAATGCTCATACCAATACTATACCTGTGTTTTGCCAATATTCAAGCAGACAAGCTGTGTTAGATTTGCTAGAGCAGTAAGAGCATGGTTGGTAATACTTGTGGATGAGATGTGTACTTCCTGCAGCTGAGGACATCCTCCTACCAGTGATCCAATGACACCATCTGTCACTCCACAAAGACCATTAAGTGCAACCACTCTTAACATTGATTTTCCTTCACCTAGTCCCATCAGTGCTGAAAAACAGGTTCATCAGTTAATAAATATGAAGAAATTATGTATAAGCTGTGTATTAGCACAACATACATTACAAAAAAAGTATCTGGATGCAATACAGGTATACTGGGGTGCCCTTTGGCTCACCTGGGTTTTGCACCCAAAGTCACTATTAATTAGGAGTAAAAAAGTTGAAATTTTTGTAATTGTTATGAGTTAGCTGGTAGTTTTGATTACCTCAGGGAGTTGTGACCCTGCCGTGCCAGCTACTCCCGCCTTGTGGGTTGGCATTAGGAAGGGCATCCAGCTGTGAAAGCTTTGCTTCAACATGTCTGGTGGCAGCTGGGACAATCAGGGATGTACCCATCCCCTGGTCTCTACTGCATTTTCTGGGCTGGTATGCTGCCAGTACAATGGGTACTGGGTGAGCATTTCACAGGCTGGCACTTCAGCTTGATAGTATAGGCTATTCCACCATCAAGTGCATAATACCATGTGGCCAGCTTTAGTGCCATGTTGCGCATGGAAGGGTATCCCTGAAGCTGGTTGTGGTGGGTCACCCAAATGCCACTGGACTGCCATTATGGTTGAAGGTACATCACTATTCTAGCAATTGATCAGTGTGCTTCAGTTATCACATTTGTAAGGTACAGATGATAGTGGATAGTTTCATTAACAGAATAATAAATATTAATGTGAAGTGATACTTACAATTCTCTGAAAAATTATTGTTCTCAACAACTGGTGGTTCAGGCATATACAAAACTTTCAAACACTTTGTTGTCTTCAGGTACTCCACCCCAGCATCTGAGATTAAACAGGCATGCAAATCTGCAAAACATAAAAAACTCTTATTAATAGTATCTATGTTCTCTCTAAGGAGTGGATCAAGGGATATGAAACCTCAAAGAAGGGGGGGGGGATATAAGAGCAATGCAAAACAAGTGTAGACAGCAAAAGGACAGATCAAAGTTAACAAATACAGTACAGTAGATATACCCACACATACTTGATCCTTTATTCAAATTGATATTCACTATCTTTACCATCCACAGTGATTCACATCAATTCATTACACAAAAGAAATAAAAACAATAATTTGAGGAAGTTTTGGTACATTGGAATGTAGCAAGTATTCCGAGACTACAGGAGGTTAGCTCAATCCAATGGGTGAAGACAATCACCCCCTCCAATGTGGTGCCACCAAGCAGCCAGAAAGTACAGTAAACAAAATAATTACCAAGCATGGGATAAAGGGAGGAATGCGAAAAATTCAGCAAAATCCTGTTTTTTCTATTATTTTTTATAATTGAAATGGGACCCTGGTACTGTGCAGCAATTAAGTGCTCTACCAACCCTGTAAGGAACAGAAACCTGTCTTTCTTTCAATTTTCATTAAGATCCAGAGAGGTGAGTCATACACCTACTTTTGTCAATGTTGACTGCTGACTGTTCATTAGTTTTTATGAGCTCTTTCTTTATTTAATGCATTTAGTACTGATAACGTTCCACTCTTCATAACTGCTAGTTAACAGCACAGCATCTTTAACCCTTTCGCTGCATTTCCCGCACTGGTCACTATATTCTGGCTAACGTCAGATGATTTTCTTCAGCTTAGGGCAGGGGTTTTCAAACTATGGGTCCCGACCCTTCAGTGGGTTGCGAAATAAATAAATTGGGTCACAAAATGAAAATGGGTCGCGAAAATAAATAAGAAAAAATAAATAAAATGGGTCGCGAAAATAAATACGAAAATAAAAATAAATGCACCATAATTTAGGCTTGGTTATTGTAATGTACACTCCACAGTCTAGGAAGCGACTGCAAGGAGAGCATATTTTGTCTTTGATTTACTCATTTCATATCATTACACTTAGGTTTAATGGGTCGCAATTCAAATTGTTGTTCTGGCTGTGGGTCGCAGTAAAAAAAGTTTGAAAAGCACTGGCTTAGGGTAACCTCCTGCAGCGAAAGGGTTAAGATACAGTATATAAAATGAGCAGGTTATTGTTGTATTGTCAAAAATATAAGGCTGGAACTTAAGTTTTGGGTTACTATTGGTTTTAGGAGCACCCATAACGTTTAGGATGAAATTGTTTTTCCTTGTACTCTACAGTACTGTATATGTTGATGTATTTTGATTAGACTTCACATTCATTTCTTGGGCAAATTCACGAAAACCTAACCAACCCAATCCAAATTGTATGGTAAAACCAAAAAAAATATCCAAACCAAACCTAACAAACTTGACCTGACCTGACCTAACCAAACCTAACTTTACCTAAGCTATCTTTATCTACCCAACCAAACTTTACCTAACATTACCTTTGTCTTGGCAATTTTGTTGTTTCATGATAAACCAAACTGTTAAGAATCAGTAGAATATAACCACAGAGTTCAATGTTCATTTTCATAAAGGGAGATAGAGCAGAAAAACAAACAAACATTATAGTGCTTTCATCTCAAAATTTATATATTACCAGTCACTGTACAGTATTTTGATTGTTTTATTTCAGTTTAAAAAGTACAATTTGGAGGGTTTTAAGTTCACACTAACAAGTACTATGTGGAATATATTGTGGACATCTTACTCACTTCATTATTATGTCCAGCCAATCAGCGAAAGTCTCGGTGTCATGTTATACTCCAGTGCATGCTCAGGCTTTTGAATTGAAATTTGTCAGTTGCAAGATGGCTTCTTTGTGCAAAGGATGCTCTTTCTCAGAATTGCAAGCCATTCAACATGTTTTTGTAAATAATGCTGCTACAATTGACATTTTCATGGAATATGGTATTCTGAAAACATACATAAAGTGTCTAAAGTGTAGTGTACTGCCATTATCGTTAAGATAAACACATTTAAATTTTCATGAAACAATGCAGAATTGCCAAGACAAAGGTTAAGGTAATGTTAGGTCAGGACAGGTAAGATTTTGTTAAAATAATGAAAATTGGTAGAGTGGGAAGAAGTAAAATGTGACACCCATGGAGATACAGTGGTTATGTCTCATAAAAGGATCTTTAATTTTCACCACTGTACTGTATACCCCTGTAAGTGTAACAACATACAATAATCCCATATACTGTACAAGCTAACATTCCCTAAACTATGGTGAGATAGGTTAGGTTAAATTGCTTGATTAAGTTACTTTATTATATTAAGTTAAGTTACTTTGCTAGATAAAGTTTGATTACTTTGTCTTATAAGTTATGTTACTTTGAGTAAGGTAGGTTAGGTTATTTGGTTGAGTTCTTTAAGAAAAAATTATTTTATTATTAGTTTAAGTTAGCTTTGGTTGAGTTAAATTAGGAAAATAAAAACTTATCACTGACTTCTTCTTACCAAGTTCAGTAACACGTGAATGAATAAGCCAAGAAAAAATATCATCAGTGCATTTGCCTCTTCTGGTTAATTTTTTTAAGAGCTGGTCCTTTAAAGTCCATGGTAGTCTTGTGTAGGAGTCTGTGGGTATCAAGCAAGCCTCATCCAGACACCTGCAACGAAAAATTAAGAACTATAATAAACTAACCATGGATCACCTGAAGATAAGGTATTGAATTCCAGCTTACTTCACCTGATGATCAAACAACCTAACACCACAGAAGGGGGAGTAGATTAGGTTAGTCTATGTTTGATAAGACTTTATTAGGTTGGGTTAGGATAGGTTAGGTTAGTTAAATATCAATGCTTCCACAGCCGAGATCCCTGGGTCAGTGTCTGGTATAGATTTCTGTACTAATCCTGTGAGCCAAGATGATTAGAACACTTTCAATGTTATTTTTATCTTAGTGTTATTATATATTTAGTAAAATACAGAAAGTTACCTGAGAAATAATAATAAAACAAATCCAGGTGCATCACATCAGAGCAAATTTCTTAAGCATGAAATTTTGCTTTGTAAATCAGAATTTATTCTTTTTAATTTTCATGTTTTGTAACAGCAAATTTTCATAAATGAATAATTAATAATGTGAAGGATGCCAGTACAATATTTAAAAAACATCATAACCAGTGGAACTATCAATCAGCCATGTATGATTAAAATACAATACAGTACTTTTATCCAATACTCACAGCTCCTGAAGAGTCTGAGGCTGCATAATAGGACGTGATGTACTTCCCTGAATCATGAGTCTTAATTTGGGATTGAAAAAGTTCCTGAAGTGTCTTGCATCATCTGCAATTATAAGTCAGTAATCAAGAGACAGAACAGTATTGTATAGTTACTGGAAACTTGCTAACAGAAGAGAATCGCAGAGACAAGGAGAAGATTTTGTAACAAGCACATGAGACAATAATTACTGAAAGATTTAAGGACAAGGTATAAAAGCAGTGGTGAATCCTCTGAGCATGCTAGGCATGCGGCACATGCTCACAGCTCAGAGCTTTTTGTTTGTTTATTCATCTTGAATAATAAATTTACACTTATACTCTAAAATGCAGCCTAGCGCTTAGTAACAGTACTGTGTAAGGGAGTGAGGCCGGGGCTAGCTCCTCTCCCAAGTGCATCGATAGGGGCTGTTTCACCTCGATGAAAGCCTGCGCGCGCAGCTCGCTGACGTCACAGTCATACCACGGTGAAATGGCAGATATGATGCGCCAGGCAGTGACGCATCAGTGTCACTCCACCCACGAGTCCGTGTGGGTCGTGCGTGTTGTTTACATTCTTCGGCTCGTGTGTGTTGTGATGCTTTTGCTACCCGAGTGTTATAGACTTATAGTGTTATAAATACTGTATTCTACTTGCGATGGAAACTGTGGTAGAAGAGGAAACTTGTTGAGTTAAGGAACTGCTGGAAAAGCCGTTTTCGAGAAGAAACATTTCAGAGAAAATTGAAATCGTAGGAAAACGTAGACCATGTCCACGAATTCCAGGACTTACAAAGAAGCATACAGATAAAAACAAAGAATATGTTAGGCATTGTAATATTATGCAGTACGAAAGCACGCATTGGTTGACCGGCTCAAATAAGTTAAACAAACTCTTCTGCTGGCCGTGTTTGCTCTTTTCAAATGATCACAGTGTATGGTCGAAAACTGGTTTTGATTATTTGAATACTTTGTCATTGGCGTTGACGTCAATTGAAAAACTCTGCTTGGGCACTTGAAAATAAAGCATACATTTTATGATGAAGTGACTGAAAAATTTATTGAAAAAAATAGGAGGATGGAGTTCGTTTATAAGTGAAAGCCTGAATGGGAAAGAAAAGGGGAGAAGAAACCAAGGAGAAGGAGAAAGGCAAGACTTTTGTACACATTTATATACAGTACTAAAATACAATTAAATTGTTTTTTAATTTATTTCACTTTTTCAAATACTTTTCCTTTCCCTTTTTAGGCTATTTTAAATTTAAAAGAGAGAATAAGTAGCAGGCTAAGTTAATAACACAATGGCATGCACAGGCCTACTTGAAAGCTTTTATTATCATATTATCTCAAAATAGAATTTAATGTTAAACCACCTAGGTACAGCACCCTCCCCCCCCTCCCCGCTCTAAAAAATCGAGAGCATGCTCAAGATCTTAGGTCAGGATTTGCCACTGCATAAAAGATACTGGTAAGTTAGATATTGTTCAACTAAGTATTTTTTTTTTTCCCCTCTTCACCACTGATCGGCTCGTTGCCGCTTGGGCGATCGGTTACATCTCTGTTACACACTGTTGGCAAGTACAGTACTGGGCATGCACCGGCTCCTGAATGTATCTGAACCGGCTCCAGTGCTTATTTACCTTCACTAATAAAACAGTACAAATGGGTAGATCCTGGGGGTGGGGCCCTGATCCCCCCTTTTCATCAGAAAATACCAATACTGTACTTGTTCTTTAATGCAGTATTGTACTCAGGCATTTTTGTATAGTGGAAAGTAATTTCTATTGACTTCAGAATATCTCCTAATATCACGTGCACCTGGCCTCAAAATGCCCATGATATTGGTCTCCTATTTAGAGAGAGAGCAGACGTATTTTCTATTAATTTGTTACAGTTAAGGTCAAATAAACACTTATTTTTAAAAACACATTGCTATTCATATATTAAAATCAAGCTTGTCCACATTTCCATTGTGGATCTACATGATATATATATATATATATATATATATATATATATATATATATATATATATATATATATATATATATATATATATATATATATATATATATATATATATATAGGTACCAAACGTCTTTATTCAGGAGCATCTGAGGCAACTGAAGATGTCTAAAACCAATAAAATATATATATATATATATATATATATATACAAACGGTCTCGTAAATTGGGTTCGAGTTGACATGCTCTGATGGATACGAGTTGTCCAGCACCCAAACAAATTCACGCCTTGGTAGCTCTTGAGCAGCTATCCTCGTTACACGAGGGGCAACCATTATATGTATATATAAAGAACTGTCTCCATATTTTAGTGCCACATTTGTGCAGTGGCCATCATCAGTCAACCAGATGCTCATTTTCCATAAAAAAAGGCAACCAACCAAACCTTACCTAGCTAATGGACATAGGTACCAAGCCTGGAGTGGAAGTGCATTATTTTAGGTTAAGTTAGACAGGGTTGGTTTGGGTGTTATTTGGGGAAGTGTTCATTTGCTTAGTGTAAGGGTCAATTGATGACAAAGGTGTCAATAGTTTAACTGAACAAAAACTTAAAAAAAAATAAATACGGTACCGTTAAGTTACAATTCCTCCAAACTTTTTTTAAAATTCATAAGGTAATAAACAAGTTTTCTTCTAAAATACTTTCCCTAAAGTTGTTCCTTCTAACAGAATGATTTTGTAAGCTATTACCCTATTTACATATAAATATATATTTTTTTCATTATAAATCAAAGGAAAGAACTTATGTATTCATCATCATGACAGACAATCACGTACATGCCAACTGGCATTAATTGTCCTTTAGCAATAGCCATTTTAACAAATCATGCTACGCTGACGTTAAAAACTGTTCTAATCACAGAGCGGCTGACACCCTGTCTGTAGCTACCAGAGGACCTGTGAGCCTAACACTAGCGGGTCGATGGTAACCAACAACACTTTGACACTATAACTTACCACCACATACTGACTCCCCGTACGTCACACACCATCACTGGCGGCCATGACACATCAACACCAAACAACTTCACAGTATTAACATATATGGTCGTCCGGGATAACACTCTTACTGCACGACAACTTATTGTATTGCGTGACGTCACAACGACCAAAGGCAGCAAGAGGAAGAATGTTAGTGAATTTACCTCGAACTCAGCCGCCGAACTAGTATTTTTTTCATAGACGAACATAACCTAATAGAACCAATCAGCGACCTAATTTTTAACTAATCACGGAAAAATTGCTAAAATAAATACCACGAAGAAGGCCACTGAACCATTCATATGTATAAATATAAATATATATATTTCTCAGCAGCAAAAAATCAATTCTAACATCTTATTAACTTACATTACAAGTAATATAAGGAAGCAGAGAGCCCTTAAGAAACTCAGCATAATACGTTCAACTTAACGATCCTAAAGCAATTTTCAATTGGTTTAAACGACTCGCTCGTGTAAATTGAAAGACACAACGGGTTCGCGGTTGGATCTTCAACACTAGCCATTTTCCAATTGTCTCACCAGCGGCCGTTCGGGCAGTTTGTATGTTCTTTATGAACTTTTTGTATAGTGTTAGTACAGGAGGAATCCAGATTAATGTAAGGAAACCTGCGATGTTTGGTAGAGTCACACTGGATAACACCCTTCCCATGTGTCCTGACTCGGACCCACGACATTGTATTAAGATACTCGCGGTACCACTTAATTAAATTGCACCAACAGATATTTTCTTGTCTAATTACCCACCATCGTATCTGTTTCTCTATATCATTCTACCTTTGTGTGCATCGCTCTATAATTCTAATTACTACCTCTCTACAATTTTACGGATCTCTAGATCACACACAGGAAAAGTAATCAGAGACGTGACCGATCGCCCAAGCGGCTAACGAGCCGATCAGTGGTGAAGAGGATAAAAGAAAAAAGAAAACTACGACTTTTTTACTTAAGTTTTACTACATTTATCCTCTTCGTCACTGATCGACTAGTTTGCCCCTTGGGCAGTCGTTCACTTCTCTGTTACAGACTGTTGGCGAGTAATGGTTCCAGAATGTATCTGTATGACTGTATCGCTTGACCGCAAGGTATATATAATACGTATATATCCAAGAGCTCGTGACTAAAGGCGCTGTATTTGAGGTGGAATGGGTTGGAGTCGTTGTGAGTAGAAGGCAATGGGCCTGAGGTATCCACTGATTTCCTGTTGTAAGACGGCGCCCACTGTGGTAGACGAGGCATCTGTATGAGGACAGTCCCGGGGCAGGGTGGGAGAGTAGAATGAGGCGTGCGATGTGGCCCTTTATTTATTCATTTATCATGTTTGCCACTTATCAGCTTACTCGCCGTTTGGGCGGTCTATCCAGTGTTAGTACAAGAAGAAACCGGGGACAGGGAACTATGATGTATGGTAGGGTCACACTGGATAACAAAGGCCCAAGGGCGGATCCAGGGGGGTCCTGACCCCCCTTTCACCAGAAAATTCCAATACTTTTTCTTTAATGCAGTATTGTACTCAGGAATTTTTGTATAGTAAAAATTATTTACTATTAACTTCAGAGTATATCCTAATGACCTATTATAAAGTGCGCATGGCTTCAAAATGCCCACGATATTGGTCAGATAAAAAAATCAAGGGGGGGGGGAGGGGCTTATTTGTGTCTGGGTCAAGGCTCTAACCCTTGACATATTGGTGAGAGTTACGCTCGTTACCACTGTACCTCCAAGGACCAGGTGAAATGCTGGCGGGATGACTTAGGAATGCCTCTGAGGAGATCGTGGTCCTCCGTAGAGCGGGGCGAGAATATCAGCAACCTGGGCGATGAAACAGTGATAATAGTTGACTATTCCCAAGAATTTCCGGAGCTTCTTTGTAGTCGTAGGTTTCGGACATTCTTGTATGGCTGCCACCTTCTGCGGGAGAGGTTGTATGCCAACAGGCGAAACTCTGTGGCCGAGGAAGTTAAGGGAAGAGGCAGGTTGAACCTTGATGTGCTCCTGAAGGCAGTGAAGTAGGAGGCGCAGATGGGGATGGTGTTCGACGTGGGTGCAGGAAGCGACCAGGACATCATCTGTGTAGATGGTGACGAAATCCAGGTCACGTAGGGTGTGGTCCATGTATCTCTGGAAGGTTTGAGCGGCGTTCTGTAGACCAAAAGACATTTAGAACGATGTACTCGAAGAGGCCCAAAACGTTTAGAGGGCTGTGGTCACCAACCATCAGATGAGCACGGTACTCTGATTGCTTGATTCACCATTTATCAGCTTATTAACCGTTCAGGTGTACTGACCACAGTCATGCATGTTAGTTAACATAAAATCAGACGATTCATATTACACTCAATAGCCCATAAAACATGTAGCTATAATTTATTCATGAGTCCCCCTACTAAGACGTCCGTTTTCTCGCTGCTTCAGTGATACCGAGACGTTTGTTTTCTGTCAAGTATTTCAGAATCTATTGTATCCCATGTTGATGTAGAATATTTAAATTCACGATTGAATGTTTCTGTGTCACTGTAAGATAGATATACTTGCTTACAGCTGAAACATTCAAGATCCATTGAGTGATGCTGAAAGCTTCAACTGTATTTACTTTTCGTAAAATTGTCACGTAAGTCGAGTGTTAGTTTGCCAGGGAGTGTGATAATCATATTCCTGCCCTCTGAGACGTACTAGAGTTCGATTTGCCACTGAAGTCAGATTGTTTTAATTCATATTCATCAGAGAATCTGATGACAGAATTGAAATTATTGTCAGATGTGTATTTGAAAGTCACTAATCTTTTGGAAAGAAACATGTCACTTCCTTGTCTCCGTAAAATCTAACTTGTTAGTAAGGTGGTGGAAACTACTACCGCCTGGAAGATATTGGAAGCATAATGTATTGTCTAATGGTGAACCCTGCTGCCATATGGCTCCTAAAAAGTACAACCAAGTCCCAGGTTGCTACGATCTGACTTTCTGCCTCATATACACACAGTACGGGTCTCAATTGTTTCTTTTACTGTTGACAACACAACATACATAATGTATGTCGTATTACTTTGCTTGGGAGATTGGTATCCCCGCATCCCCTGAGTAACGCTCTTGTGCATTATGAAGAAGGCCCGACAGCCGCACCCTTATCCACTACCTCCTCAGATGTCCCCACACACAACGCTTCCGTGACGCCTGCTGGACCACCACTCCACGACCCCCTGACGGAGACACTATGATCCTCCCCATACTGGCCAGATATTATGTAAATAACATTGATTATGTGTTAAAGGAATATCCTTCCTTCCTTCCTTCCTTAGGCTTTAGTAAGCCCCTTTATAATATTCATACTGTATATACTTGTGACACTTGCCAGATGCTTCTGGTGTTATTGTACAGGGGTACCTAGTGACGGCACTAGAATCCCACTTCCTCTATCAAGTAATAAACAATTAAGGTGAAATTGATTGTATGGGGAGGCTGGAGGCCACGTTTAAAAAGTAGTAGTAGTAGTGGTAGTAGTAGTAGTAGTAGTAGTAGTAGTAGTAGTAGTAGCTATAAGCAGAGGAGGTGGGCGCCTCGAACCGATTAACTACGTTACCGATAAGGGCAAATGGTTTCGGTCTCAATAAACAGAATTTACAGATGCCAATACTCTAAGGCAGGGGTCACCAAACTACGGCCCACGGGCCGGATCCCAAGTCCTTCCCCGGCTCGTGGTAGCTCCGCCTACGCTCTGACGTTACCAGAGCTTTCGTTCTGGCTTGCAAGTATTGAACAGAATGATTATGCGGCCCGCGCTCGTCATTCTTTCAGTTATCCGGCCCACTGTGAAAAAAGTTTGGTGACCCCTGCTCTAAGGTATGGTAGGCCAGTGGAAGGTTTGCCCTCCCAATGCGTGTGTGGTTCTTCCTATGACGTTGATCACGCCATGGTGTGCAAGAAAGGGGCTTCATATGCATGAAGCATGATGAAGTAAGGGATCTCACAGCAAAATGTTCAAGGAAATCTGCGTGATGTCATGGTAGAACCGACCCTCCTTCCATTGGACGGTGAGATCTTCCAACATAGGACTTCAAACACATCCAACGAAGCCCGTGTTGACGTCAGTGCTCGAGGATTCTGGACGCGGGGACAGCGAGCCTTCTTCGACATCAGGATTTTTTATCCCATGGCCGCATGTCACCATAACTTAGCTCTCGATGCTGCACACAGGGGGAACGAGAACGACAAGATAAGGGCATACGGGGAGAGAATTCAGAACGTTGATCAAGGCAGCTTCACTCCTCTAGTGTTCACAACCTCTGGTGGGATGGGACCAAGTGCAAGATGCTTCTACGCCAGATTCGCGAAGGTGATCTCGAACAGAAGCAGCAGCCCAGAAGTTATGTTACAGCCTGGATGAGATATCGAATGTCCTCTCTCCTTCGGTCGGCTTTGTTCTGCCTCAGGGGAACGAGAGCTTCGGCCCCAAAGCCAACAACAGCTGCAGATATTGACTATAAGGCTACAGTCACTGAATGCCGCATAGATCTGTGGCTCAACTAATTCAACACAGCTAGGATAGCTACTTATGTATAAGGATATTTACTATTAAGGTAATAAATTGGCGGCGAAGGTGTGGCTATTGGGGGAGGCTGGAGGCCACGTTATAAAAAAAGTAGTAGTATTAGTGGTGGTAGTAGTAATTGTTATTATTATTATTAGTATTATATTTTCACCCCCCAGGGACTGATGTGGGTCAGTGATCTATGCCCGGGTGTGCTAATCCCTGTAAAAAAAAATCCCTTGTCCGGTATTTGATAACCTGTAGAAAATGTCACTGTCAGTATGCTCTCTTTTTGAAGTATAATTAGTGCATTGCAAGCTCGAACACTGATTAGATTGTAAACCATAACCTTAGGAAATTAATCTGACCTATGACATTGATTTTCATAGTCCAGTGTGTGACTCAGCTGAGTTAAATGAATATGTGTGTACACCCACTAAAAAATTATTCGGCACCCGTGTCATATTGTATCAGGCCGTGAGGGTGCCGAATAATTTTTTAGTGGGTGTACATGTGTGTACTGTACATGTCATGTGTGAGGTGATAATCTGCTCTTTGAGTTGCTAGAAACTTGTATATAATTAAGTGTGCAGGAAGCTATAGTCACTTTTCTT